CATTTTCCTTAGTTTCCATATTACTGACATCTTACATTAGTATGGTATTGTGGTACTACTGTTACAATCAATGCATCAATACTGATACATCATCATTAAGTTGGAAGTAAGGTATACCCCTTGTTGTACAGTTCTATGGATTCTGACTAAAGTACAATGTGATGTATGTACCACTATAAAACTCAGAGACAACAGTTTTACTGCCCTAAAAATCTCCTGTGTTGTACCTGGTTATCCTTCTCTAGCCCCAGGACCTGGGCAAAAACCACTATTTTTATGGTTGCTGTAGTGCTGCCTTTTTCAGAGTGTCATATAGTTGGAATCATATAGGACATAGTGTTTTCACAATGGTTTCTTTCATTTAACATGGATTTAAGGTTACTCCATGTTTTATTGTGGTCTGTAACTTATTTCTTTTATTGCTGAATAATATTCCATTGTATGGATATACCACTATTTATTTATCCATTAACCTACTGAAGGATATCTTCATTGTTTTGTTTTTGTCAGTTTTGAAGAGAGCTGCTATAAACATCCATGTGCATGTTTTTGTGTGAACATAAATTACAAACTTGTGTTTTTTTAGAAGTATTTTATTTAATCTCCAGATATTTTGGGAATTCCCAGTATCTCTGGCATTGATTTCTGGTTTAATTTCATTGTAGTGTGAAAACATACTTTACATGATTTCTATTCTTTTAATTTTTTTCAGATGTGTTTTATTGCCCAGAATATGGTCTCTCTTGGTAACCATTCCATGTGAGTGTGAGAAGAATGTATAATCTGCTGCCAATAGATGCAGTGATCTATAGATGTCAATTAGATCCAGTTGATTGACAGTACCGTGCTGTTTAACAGTAACCTTACTGGTTTTCTGCCTGCTGGATCCATCAGTTATGCACAGAGGTGTGTTGAACTCTCTAATAGTCGGACTCATCTGTTTCTCCTGTAGTTTTACTTGCTTTTGCCCCATGTAGTTTATCTTTCTGCTTGAACATGTTAAGGGTTGTTACGTTTTTTGGGAAAACTGACCTCTTTTTTATGCTTTTGTGAAGAACTTATTTCTTTAAATATTCAACACAATTCACTGAGAAACTATTTACTTAGAAGTCAAGCATTGGGCCGGCGCTGTGGTGCAGTGGCCTGAAGCACCGGCATCCCATATGGGCACCCGTTTGAGTCCTGGCTGCTCCACTTCCGATTCAGCTCTCTGCTATGGGTTTCGAAAGCAGTAGAAGATGGTACAAGTCCTTGGGCCCCTGCACCCACGTGGGAGATCCGGAAGAAGCTCCTGGCTCTGGATCAGCACAGCTCTGGCCATTGCAACCATCAGGGGAATGAACCAGCAGATGGAAGACCTCTCTCTCTCTCTGCCTCTCCTTCTCTCTCTGTGTAACTCTTTCAAGTAAACAAATAAATCTTTAAAAAAAAAAGCAGTCTAGTATTAATATTTCTGCTTCTTCTTGAGTCAGTTTTGGTAATTTGTAGAGGTTTTTTGTTTTCATTTCTTCTAAAGTGTCTAACTTGTGGCATAAAGTTGTTTATAGAAATCCTTTATAATTCTTTTAATTTCTATACCCTTTTAATTCCTAATTTTGACAATCTGTTTCTTCTCTCTTAGTGTCTTGTTCAGGCTAGCTAACCAGAAGATGTCAATTTTGTTGATCTTCTTAAAGAATCAACTTGTGCATATCCCGAATTGCACATCTCTTCCCTCTCTTAAGCTGACTTACCTCAAATGGTAGAGTTAGAAACATACCAGGGGATTCCAATTCAATCCCATCAAGGTGGCATGTACCAATGCCATCTCACTAGTCCCAGTGATCAATTTCTGTTCACAATTGATCATAATGATAGGACTAAGAACCAAAGGGATCACATAAACAAGAATAGTGTCTGCAAATACTAGCTGATAGAATCAAAAAGGGAGAGAATGATCCAACATGGGAAGTGAGGTACACAGCAGACCCATAGAATGGCAGATGTCCTAAACAGCACTCTGGCCTCAGAATCAGCCCTTAAGGCATGCGGATCCGGCTGAAAAGCCCATGAGAGTATTTCAGGTATGGAAAGCCAAGACACTATGGGGGGGAAAAAAAAACCCTATATGAAAGATCTCCACGAGTGAGATCCCAGTGGAAAGAATGGGTCATCAAAGAAGGAGGTACCTTTCTCTGAAGGGAGGAGAGAACTTCCACTTTGACCATGGCCTTGTCTAAATATGATCAGAGTCAGTGAACTCAGGGGGCTTCCATAGCCTTGGCAGCTCAGACAAGAGCCTAGTGTGATTACTGATGCCATAAACAAGAGTGTCAATTTGTTAAGTCAACAACAGGAGTCACTGTGCACTTACTCCTCATGTAGGATCTCTGTCCTTAGTGTGCTGTACATTGAGATTTAATGCTATAACCAGTACTCAAACAGTATTTTTCATTTTGTTTCTGTGTGGGAGCAAACTGTTGAAATCTTTACTTAATGTATGCTAAACTGATCTTCTGTATATAAAGAGAATCGAAAATGAATCTTGATGTGAATGGAAGGGGAGAGGGAGTGGAAAAGGGGAGGGTTGCGGGTGGGAGGGATGTAATGGGGGGGAAGCCATTGTAATCCATAAGCTGTACTTTGGAAATTTATATTCATTAAATAAAAGTTTAAAAAAAAATCAACCTGTGGTTTCACTGAGCTATTGTTTTTCTGTTTTTGATTTCATGATTTCTGACCTAATTTTTATTCCTTCCTTTTTGCTTGCTTTGGATTTAGTTTGCTCTTCTTTATCCAGTTTCTTAGGGTAGAATTTTAGGTTATCAGTTTGAGGGCTTTCTTCTTTTCTGATATAGGTGTTTAAAACTATACATTTTATTGTTAAGCACTACTAGCATACCATGTATTTTTATATTTAGTGTTTAATTTTTATTCATTTCCAAATATTTAAAAATTTATCTTGTGGTTTCTTCTTTGACTCATGAAATATTTAAAAGTACACAGTTTACGTTTCAAGTATTTTGGTGTTTCCTAGACTTCTTTCCTACTGTAGATCTTTCCATTCATATGCTAGAACACATTTTTTAGAGTTTCAAAATGTACTGAGATGTATTTTGTGGCCTAGCATATTGCTTATTCAGTTGGAAGCATTTTAAATTTAATTTTAGTATTTTTACTAACATTTTTTATTACAATATAATTTGTATACCATTAAATTCACTCTTGTAAGGTATACAATTCACTGATTTTTAGTGTGGTCACAAGATCATGCAATCATTACAGTCTAGTTCTGAACATTTCATCATCCCCAAAAGAAACCTGTACCCATCAGCAGTTAATACCTTTCCCTCTTCTCCTAAGCCCCAACCATTATTCTATTTTGGTCTGTTATGGATTTGTCTATTGTGGACATTTCATACAAACAGAATCATAAAAACATGGTCTTTTGGGGCCAGCGCTGTGGTGTAGCAGGTAAAGCTGCTGCCTGTGATGCTGGCATCCCATATGTGTGCTGGTTCCAGTCCCAGCTGCTCCATTTCTTATCTAGCTCTCTGCTAATGCACCTGGGAAAGCAGTAGAAGATGGCCCAGGTCTTTGGGCACCTGCACCCATGTGGGAGGCCCTGAAGAGGCTCTGGGCTCTGGGCTCCTGGTTTTGGCCTGGCCATCTCTGGCCATTATGGCTATTTGGGGAGTGAATTAGCGGAGAGATCAGTCTCCTCTCTCCCCACCCCCGCCCCCAGCCCCATGTAACTCTGCCTTTCAAATAAATGAATCATTTTTTAAAAATATGTGATCTTTTGTGTCTGGCTTCTTTCACTTAGCATATTTACAAAGTTAATCTATGCTGTAGCATGTATCAGTACTTCATTCCTTCTATGGCTAAGTAATATTTCACTGTATGGACCTACCACATTTTAGTTATCTATTCATCAGTTGACATTTGACTACTTCCATTTTTTGGCTATTATAAATACTTCTGCTTTCAATATTTACATAGAAGTTTTGTGTGGTGCACATTTTTATGAAGTGTTTTATCTCCATGGTATAAGCAAAGTACCTGTACCAGGAAACAAGAGATTGGATGCTCTGTGTGTACATGTTTCCTTATGTGTTTATGCATCTGTATTCCTGTGAATAGGGCCAGTCCAAGTTCCTGAATGTTTACAAATAGTCTTTGGTTGAAGAAGAGGCCAAAAGGGGCTGAGTCAACTCTCACCATCCCAGCTCTACCCCACATGCTTCAACTTTCCCTGGCTACGTGCCTCACCTTGTGTTCCGAACCACAGTGTAAATGAGCCCTGCAGAGTGGGAAATGAGCCATGACATTCATGTCCAAAGCAGCCAGTGCACACATACACACATGGGGTATATTTCTATTATACTTTTGGGATAAAAGGAAAAGTGATATGTATCATTTGTGAATCAAAAAAGGAAATAGTAAAAACCCTGATCTCAAGTTAGACAAAATCATCCATCAATCAACGAATGTGATGATGCCCAAATATTACTTTGGTTAGAAAAATAATCCTACAAAACTCCCACTTTTCTCTCCTTTGGGTCCTAAAACTTTCACCACTACACTGCAGAGCATCTGTGGAAAAAGCATGTGGTGGGCAGGCAGTGTTCTCCAGTTTCATTCTCAGTGGTTCATCTGGTCCCTGTCCTCTGAGATTGTAACTTCCCACTGCCTATCACTTGGCCTGGGAGAGGGGATTCTGCCTCCACAATCTTCATTCTAAAAATGAATCTGAACATTCTTTATTACCTAATATGGCAGAGTTAGGCAATGTTTCCTTGCAACTCTGTTATCTCATTCTGGATAAAAGGTAGAGAAGAGCTGGGAATAAATAAATATAGAATACCAAAGGGCAAAAATAATCTCCAAGTACAAGGGAATCCTGGTGCAGGGTAAGAGAAAAGCATATAGTACTTGACTAAAAGTAGGCTTTCTCTGCCAAATAACATTGCAATGAAAAAGAATACAAGTAGTCTTTTATAAGAGAAGATATTATGTACCTGCTTGTTGAAATATCCTCGAAAGGATAGAGGATCTCTCCGTTGTTACAGATTTCACAGATGAAGCCCTTCTGGCTACAAAGACTGCAGCTGTACACGTGCGCAGTGGCAAATTTAATGACTTTGCCCAAAAATGGAGCCAGCTTTCCCTCTATCACCTGCAGAAAGAGAAATGGAACAGGGAAGCAAATTTGTTGGGAACAGAAGTCTTGCAGACACAGGAAAGGAAAGTACATTCCTTTGCTTTATAAAACAGGAAAACCTCTAATTATAATTTCTTGTAACTCTGAGGATGAAAAGACATACTTGTTTTTTTCTCCAAAAGAATTCTCTGGTTTAAGCCAGTAGCAGAAATTAGAGAATGAAGATTCCAAAACTTCTTTTGCATTAATCTTTCTTTGTATTGTGGCAAAGGCAACTCAGGACAAATGGGGAACCCGACTTTATACAGTTACAAAGCAGTACAAGAGAAGTGTGGTAGGTTTCCCAAAACAGACTGAAAACATACAATAACTATGAATAACTATGAATGTGGAAGTTGACGTTATGTCTATTTAGTAATATGTTTTCTCTGTTGAATTAACAGGATTTTTTTTCACCATCTTCTCCATGAATATATAGCAAATATAGAAAAATGTATTTCTTTTGCTGATGGTATGATAAAGAGGTGGTGGTCTGAGGACCGTTTCTGTCTTGTAGATTTTTATCTTGTATGGTTTAAATTAGGAGATTTCACATAAAAATTCAGATTATTCGCCTCTTTTGAAAAATCAGAAATCTAGCACAACAAGACCTGAATTCCAATCTGTGGAGGACTCTTTGCTCTGAGTAGGGGCTGCTTGCTCTCGAAGAGGAGTGCCTTCCCCACTTGACAGTCGTGCCCACCATGCCCTGGTGATCCTATCTGCTCGGTTCCCATGGGTGCTCACCTTTTGCCCCACAAACATCCATGACTTTGGACCTCACAGTCAAATCCCTCCTCACCTAATTAATATGTATGGGCTTCAAAGACTGCAGCACTTCACACACTAACAAGATAAAATCTGCCACTACTTTCCCCTCATTAACCCATGTGCATATACATGCTGATTTAGATATAAGAAAAGAAATGAAGATTGCATTTAATTTGGCAATAGCTGGATACTTTTTTTCAAATGACTACATGGTTAAAATTACAATTTTACATAAAAATAACATCTGAGGGAAATGTGGTAAACATACGGTAGAAGAAATTACAAAGTCCAGGTGAGTAAGTAGTAGTGACTGTATTGCAAAAATAAAAGGCCACAAAGCATGTAATCATGTCTTTTACAATACATGAACCTATACACAACACCAAAGAAAAGAGGGAGCCCATGATGCTTTAGAAACAGATATAACAATGGTTAACTCTGGGGAGGGAATAAGTCAGAGAAGCAAGTCTGTCACTTTGTATATACTCGTCAATGTGTTACTGCATTTTAAGAATAGTGAATATGTATTGTTTCTGCACTAAAGTACAGATAGATTAATAGAACAGAAATATTACATGCACTGCTTTGTAGAATATTACATGCACTGCTTTGTGGTCCTTTTTCTTAATAAAGGGAACAGAAGTTATCAGGGCTGCTTTGGAGTAGTTTTCCACCACTCTTTAATGTCTCCTTCCCTTTAATTAAAATTAGAGGGTTTTCCTGTGTGTTTTTGTTTTGTTTTGTTTTGTTTTGTTTGTTTGTTTTTTTGACAGGCAGAGTGGATAGTGAGAGAAAAAGACAGAGAGAAAGGTCTTCCTTTGCTGTTGGTTCACCCTCCAATGGCTGCCGCGGCTGGCGCGCTGCGGCCGGTGCACCGCGCTGATCCGAAGGCAGGAGCCAGGTGTTTCTCCTGGTCTCCCATGGGGTGCAGGGCCCAAGCACTTGGGCCATCCTCCACTGCACTCCTGGGCCATAACAGAGAGCTGGCCTGGAAGAGGGGCAACCGGGAGAGAATCCGGCACCCCTACCGGGACTAGAACCCGGTGTGCCGGCGCCGCTAGGTGGAGGATTAGCCTATTGAGCCATGGCAACGGCGGTTTTCCTGTTTTATAAAGTAAAGGATTGCACTTTCCTTTCCTGTGTCTGCAAGACTTCTGTTCCCAAGGCAATGGAAGCTGTAGCTAGACCTCCTTTTACTTAGGTTCTTTAAGGATGCATTAACTCTGATAAAGCTCCTTTTACCAACACAGGATGCATACTTTCTAAGAAACAACCGCTACCAAATCATATACCCAACCACCAAGAAATACTTTCCCACCTGTCACAGGGTAATTTCTACATGGAGGTAGCACTACTTCCGTTGAGTTTTGTTTTCCTTATTTATTTAATTCTTCCAGAAACAATCAAGATTAATGACACATTTAAAGACAGGTACTAGCCAACTCTATTCCCTTAGGGGAGAGCAACTAGGACATGGAACAGTGTAGAAACCAGGCCAGTAAAGGATGTCTGAGACAGCTGGGTACTGGAAGAGAATGTCCTGAGGAAGACATAAGGGTTATTAGCCAGGACCCAAAGGCAAAGAGCGGGCAGAGCTTTTTTTCTGTTTAGAAGATTTTCTTGGGACAAGAGTATGAATATTTGGAAAGGTCTGCAAGATTTCATGAAATGTACACTGCCAGCAATATATATTTATTCTTACGTAGGACTTTATCACACTTAAAAACATTTATCGGTGGGGGGAGGTAGGCATCAGGCACGGTAGATAAGACATTAGCATGGGATGCCCACATCCCATATTGGGGAGCCTGAGTTTCAGTTCCAGCTCTGCTTCCAATCCAGCTTCCTGCTAATGTGCATCTGAGGTAGCAGGTGATGCTCAAGTAGTCGGGTCTCTGCCACCTCTGTAGGAGACCTGGATCGAGTTCTGGGCTTGTGAGTTGCCTGGCTGTTATGGGCATTTGGGGAGTGAACCAGCAGATGAAGAGCTCTCTCTGTATGTCTCTCTCTGTGGTGTGTGCCTCTCTGCCTTTCAAATAAATAAATAAAATGGAAAACAAAATTATTGCTAAAAAAAAAAAAAAAAAAGGAAAACAAGGGGCCAGCTTTGTGGCACAGCAGTTTAAACTGTTGCTTATGACAGTGGCATCCCATATCAGACAGTGTTCAAGTCCTGAATTCTAGCTGATTTGCTTGTGATCCAGTTTCCTGCTAATAATGCACCTGGAAAGGCAACAGAAGGCGGCCCAAGTAGTTGGGTCCCTGCTACCCATGTGAGAGACCAGGATGAGAACCAGTTCCTGGTTCCTGGCTTTGGCCTGGCCCAGACTTGGCTGTTGTGGCCATCTGGGGAGTGAACCAGTAGATGGAAGATTTCTGTTTGCCTGTCTCTCTGTTGCTCTACCTTTTAAATAAATAATTTTTTATTAAAAAAGAAAACAAAAACTTAAACTTGATATATTTATATTTAGTCTTCCTATCAAAGAATCTGATATCAAGAAACTCCATTTTTATTAAATTTTTCTTTATTGTTACTTAATAAATTTTGTTATTTTGTATAAGTCACTCACATTTATTATTTAGATTACTTCAAGGTTAAAATTCTGTAGGTAGGCCGGCACCGCAGCTCACTAGGCTAATCCTCCACCTGCAGCGCCAGCACCCTGGGTTCTAGACCCAGTTGGGGTGCCAGATTCTGTCCCGGTTACTCCTCTTCCAGTCCAGCTCTCTGCTATGGCCCGGGAAGGCAGTGGAGGATGGCCCAAGTGCTTGTCTCTGCTATGGCCCGGGAAGGCAGTGGAGGATGGCCCAAGTGCTTGGGCCCTGCACCCCATGGGAGACCAGGATAAGCACCTGGCTCCTGGCTTCGGATTGGCGCAGTGCACTGGCCGCAGCACGCTGGCCAAAGTGGCCATTTGGAGAGTGAACCAATGGAAGGAAGACCTTTTTCTCTGTCCCCCCTCTCTCACTGTCTAACTCTGCCTGTCCAAAAAAAAAAAAAAAAAAAAAAAAAACCACCACAAAATTCTGTAGGTATTTTTTTTTTGCTTGTGAATGCTAGGCATATTAGAATATATTGACATCTGTGTATGTTGTATGACTTTATCACTGAATTTTCATCTATGCTAATCATTTTAGGTGATTCTTTTAGGTTTTCTGGCCATGATAACTGGTTCCTTCTTTTCTTTTTTTTTTTTTTTTTTTTTTTTTTTTTTTTTTTTTTTTTTTGACAGGCAGAGTGGACAGTGAGAGAGAGAGACAGAGAGAGAAAGGTCTTCCTTTGCCGCTGGTTCACCCTCCAATGGCCGCCGCTGCAGCCGGCGCACCGCGCTGATCCTGGCAGGAGCCAGGAGCCAGGTGCTTTTCCTGGTCTCCCATGGGGTGCAGGGCCCAAGCACCTGGGCCATCCTCCACTGCACTCCCTGGCCATAGCAGAGAGCTGGCCTGGAAGAGGGGCAACCGGGACAGAATCCGGCGCCCCAACCGGGACTAGAACCCGGTTTGCCGGCGCCGCAAGGTGGAGGATTAGCCTATTGAGCCACGGCGCCGGCTTGGTTCCTTCTTTTCTAATACTCTCTTTATGATTCATGCCTCATTGTATCATCCAGGGCTCCTAAAACAATAGTAAACAATAATGGTGCTAGTGGCCACTTCTTGATATTCCAATGAGAATTAAATAGGAAATTATGGCGTTTATACCAAATGACTCAACTTCTCCACCAAATACATAAATCTTACCATTCACCATATTTTATTTATTTATTTGACAGGTAGAGTTACAGTGAGAGGGAGAGTGAGAAAGGAATGTCTTCCATCCACTGGTTCACTCCCCAAAAGGCTGCAATGGCTGGAGCTGTGCTGATCTGAAGCCAGGAGCCAGGAGCCAGGAGCCCCTTCTGGGTCCCCGACGTGGGTGCAGGGGCCCAAGCGCTTGGGCCATCCTCTACTGCTTTCCCAGGCCATAGCAGAGAGCTGGATCAGAAGTGGAGCAGCTGGGACTAGAACAGGTGCCCATATGGGATGCTGGCACCGCAGGCAGAGGATTAACTCACTGCGCCACAATGCCGGCCCAATAATGGTTCTTAGTTTACTCACAGAGTTGTGTATAAGCAGCACAATTAATTTTCTAATATCTCACCAGCTTTCTCCCAAAACTCCATATCCTTTAGTAATCACTCCCCTTCTTCTCCGACCACGTCCCCAAG